CCACTGGTTGTGGCTTAGGAGCAGGGGCTTCCTTCTCCACCCGCGCTTTTGCATCGTCGGCTGGAAGTGCTGAAGCAGGTAGAGGTTCTTCCTGCCTGGCCGGGGCAGGATCAGCGGTAATGGTCTTGCTGCTCCTGGTAAAGATGGCATCCAGCTGCTGGAGCGGCTCACGTGGATTGGGGACGGTGGTGGCAGGTAGAGTCCCCGGGGCCCGGGTAGTAATTTGGCGAGCTATGGCACCAACTTGGTTCTGTAAATCCTGCAAAATGGCACCCTGGTTCCTCTGTCCTGCCTCCAGTGAGGCTATGCTCTGCTCCACCCTCGTGAAATTCGCCTGGCTGGTGGTCATGAATGCCGCCAAAATGTTCTTCAGCTCGGTCATCTGATTATCGGGAGCTGCGCTGCTGCTGGCTCGGCATACTGACGCTAGGGCTACTGGAATGGCTGCCCCTGCCTAGGATGGTAGGGCTGCTGCTGTGGTGCCCCTGCCTAGCCTGGAAGGGCTGCCTCTGCTGAAAACCACCCGCTGGTGCTGGGAAACCAGGTGGTTTAGTGGTGTTGTTGTTCTAGACGAAGTTGGGATGCTGGCGCCACCCCTCATTGTAGGTATTGCTATATGGGTCCAGGCGCCGAGCATTGGCGATGAAGTCCACCTGTTCTTGGGGAGTAGAGGACTCTCTCATGATCCGGACTCTCACACCACTAACACTGAGCTACTGGAGGCGTAGCTGTACCGCGGCCCGGAAGGAGACTGTGGGGCTGCTTCAATGTCTGCACCAACTCAACCACCTGCTTCTCTAACCCGGACCTGGCCTCCATAGCGTGCACACCACGATCCCGAGAATTTCTGCCTCTGCTGTTCTGCCCCCATGAATGATCTCGGGCAGCCAAGGTACTAATCATCTGGTTCAGCTCGGGTGGAGTCTTAGTGAGAATATCCCTTCCTGGGCATAGAGACTCAATCACCCTCTGGCTGTCCGGGGAGAGAGCACTGTAGAAGTTCCCCACTGTGAATGCATCACTGAAGCCATGATGGGGACACTGCCAGAAATATCCCATGTACCGCTCCCGTGCATCACGAAGCGACTCGTCTGGTTCTTGGCGGAAGCGAGTGATCTCCCGCTGAATCTCTGTGGTCTTCGATGCTGGATAGTACCTGTGCACGAACTTGTCTACCAGATCGTCCCAAGAAGTGATGGACAATGGGGGCTGGGTCTCCAACCACCTCTTAGCATTCCCCGCCAGAGAATGGGGGAAGAGGTGAAGGCGGATTGCGTCATCCGGGACACCGTTCAGCTTGAACCCGTTCGTCAGCTGCAGAAAACGGGAAAGATGCACCCGGGCCTCCTCATCCTTCAAGCCATGGAACTGGATAGAGGATGTAATGAGTTGAATCCAGCATGGCTTGATCTCGAAGTTGTTTGCTGGAATGGGCGAATAGAGGATGACCGGGCGGATGTCAGCAATCCGTGGAGTGTAGTAGTACTCCAAGGTGGGACCCGGTGGTGGTGGATGATGATGCACCCCATCTCCCTGGGGATTGGGGTCGTTCCCCAAGAGCTGATTCACCGGAGGTGGGTTGTGATCGCCTTCCATCTCGTACTCGTCCTCGGACTTGCTGCTCAAATGGCCGTCTATGCGCTCCACCGTAGCCAGTCTAGCTCGCTATTGTCTCCGAAGTTGGTGGCAGGTGCGTTCAATCTCTGGATCCAACGGCAGTAAACCTCCCAAATGGCTACGGGTCATGCACTATCTGCACACAATCAAGCAATGCAAACCCGTGAAGGCACAAGTGGGAAAGAACAAACTCTCAATGCGAAAATGAAAATGCTAAAGTAACAGAAATTACTTTTCTTCAACAACCTAGCCGTCCCCGGCAACGGCGCCAAAAACTTGACTCACTCCTACTGTCACTCTAGAAAATGGCCAAGTGTAACCACTTCCTAAAGCGTAGTATAGCGGGTTTGGGTTTTAATGTCAACCCGGGTCCTAGATTTGATGACTACTCGGCGAATTCTTGTTATCTAGCAGTGAAACTTTAGTGCAATTCCAAATTAACAAACAAACAAAGCAAGTTAAACGGTTGTTTTCAAGTCGAGAGAGGTCACCCGAATATGGTTCCCCCTAGACTGCAGTTAAGCCGGATTGCAATTTAACAAGTTCAGTTTTCATGAAAGTTATACTGCGGAAGGTTCTTAAACAGTCTGAAGTCTCGACTAAAGGTCTCCAGACCCTCTCAATCTGAGTCTCCAGCGGGCGACTAACCTCCACCGGAGTAAACAGATTGAGGCCCTAACGAACAAAACCTCCACTACCGAAGTGAATTCGGTACAGAATAGTGAGTTGGCTCCTCGACTAAAGTCACCAACTCCCTACCTTCAATCAAGGATACTCTATCAACCTAGGCAGATATTCTCGTTCTAGGTCAAAGCAGAAACAATAGGAATTTGATCAGGATTCAAGTCATTCAATCATTCAAGCCTCAATCGAATATAATCAATTCATAAACTCTGTACTTGGGTTCATACAATCAGACCTAACATACAAATCTAGGGTTCCCCATACCCAGATGAATGGGGAAACTACTCCATGGAGAGAGAAGCAAAAACAGATTCAGACGCGGAAATCATACTGTGAAAGATAGATTTCTGCTCCTGGTTGACAATCGGCACTTCTCCAAGCTCAAGCCGGGCTCCAATGGTGATGAAGATCAAGCTATGGCACTTGGGAATAGGGATGGCAATTTACCCACCCATGGGTAATTTTGCCCAAACCCAAGTAGACCCATTTATTATGGGTAGGGTTTGGGTGATGTGTGTATGGGTTTGGGTGATGTATATGGGTTTGGGTTAGATATGGATATTATCTAAATGGGTATGGGTTGGATATGGATATCCATTTACTTGAAGGTGTCTTAACTACACATGCAAAAATTGGACTTATTTGTAAAACTTGAAAATTTTAGGTACCAAAATGTAAGACCAAAAAAATTTAGGTACCAAAACGTAATTTTCCATCGATATTTTGAGGACTTATATGCAAAAAAAATTAAATTTAGGTACTAAATATGCATATCTATTAAGTTTAGGTACCAAACTGTAATTTGTATTTGGGCATGGGTACAAACCCAAATCCATTTGTTATAAACCCAACCCAACCCAAAGTAAATGGGTATGGGTACAAACCCATCAAACTTTACCCATATCCATATATTTGGATTTCATACCCAACCCAATTGGGTTGGATAGTAAAATACCCATGGGTATGGGCATGATTGCCATCCCTACTTGGGAACTCTGGTTCGTCGCTTTCTCTCTCTAGGAATCGCTCTGTCTCTCTAAAACTCGGAACCCTTGATTTTCAACCTTCTTTTCCCTTAAATCTGCTTCCTGTCGCGATACCCGGTCGGGTATTTTGGGTCTCGACCGGGTATTATTAAAACGCACGTTTTAGGTAAGGGAAAAATCCCCGGTCATGTCCAATAATCCCCGACCGGGGATTTTAGCTCCACGACCGGGCCCCTCTCTGTTTCTCAGACGCCCAAAACCAAAATTCCCCGGCCTCCTCAAAATAATACTCGGCTGGGTATTCTTAGTCATGGCTGGGTATTTTCTTCCTCCAGCACACTTCAAGCCTCACTTGCTCCTTTCGACCCGAATCTCGTTCCTTAGCCTCGATTCCAACGCGGGGTCCTGAAATGTGACATAAACGCACAACCTAGCGTGAAATCGGCTTAAAATATGAGAATCAATATCTCAAACGGCTCAAGAATAGGGGTGAAAACATGTGTAATTATCGGTCTATCACTATCCGGTCCCTCAACACATCCTCAAAGGGCAAACCGAGCTAAGAGAAACGCCCTTTGATGGATTAACTCAAACACTATGCTCGGTTGCCTCTCACGTGAGAGCCTCTTTGTTTATTTTTCTGACAAGTTAAGCACATAATTTCAAAGATTCGAGTTCGAAAGTGGTGGAGAGTCCCGCACACTTGTTCTTCCTAAAATAGCATACATTATCAACTCACCAAAGAGGAAGAAGAGAGTAAAATCCCTCATACACCGGTACTCTAATCATGCAACTACTCCCTAGTGAGCACAACACATCAATCATCTATTAATTCAAAGCATACAGAGTAGGGAGAATGCAAAAGGGGGCCAACTTGGAGCCCTCAAATAAAAAAAAAAAATTGTGCATGCATACAAGGCTTCAAGTGGTCGAAAAATGCTAAATCATCGTCCACAATAACTCTAAAGCACACTCTCTCTCGATCAAGCATTCATACATTTATGGCATAAGAGAGTACAATCAATAACGACATTCCACACAGGCATTTATGCACAACACCCCCCCCCCCTCCCACACACACACACACATACTTAAGGAACACATTGTCCTCAATGCAAGAAAGGTAAAAGGATAGGAAAACGAAGTTACCAAAATGCTTTGTCGAAGTGATTGTGGGATCGAGGGTAGGGCGGGGGAGGGAGGGTTGATCTCCTCCCAAAGTTGAGAAATTTCCTTTTGGACTAGGTCTCTTGACCTATAGGTGACACTTCTAGTTGTTGTTGGTGTTATTGCTTATGGTGTAGTGTGTACTTTGAGGCTTGAATTGTTGTGTGAAGTTTCGAGTGGTCCGGTTTCTCCATTGATTGGAATTTTGAAGTTTTTACCACCTCTAGTGGAGGAGTAGGGGTGGCAATTGGTGCGGTTCGGACCGCACCGCACCGCATTCATATAAACCGCACCGTACCGCATTCATATAACCGCACCGCATCTTTGACCGCAAAGTTATCGGTACGGTCAAACCAAACTGCATAAATTAATGGTTTGGTACGGTTTAGACCGCACCGCATCTTGACCGCAATTCCCTGTGCTTGACGTAATTCCAAAGGAAAAGAATCAGAAACTTTCTAACGCCGAAAACTTTCTAATTCCAAAATCTGTTATTCCAACTAGTGTCTTCCAATTCGAAGCCAACTCTAACAAAGCCTCAAGCTCTTGTTCATAAGGACGCAAATTGGAACAATTCTCTACTGCAACATTACATAGGGAAGAAAAGGTTTCAGACAGCCCCTGTGCTTGACGGATCAGGCCGTCCCTGCACAGAAAGAATGCAAATGGGGAAAAACAGAAAAAAACAGCCTTGAAGCCTGTCGATCTTGCCATGAGCAACAATTCAATCCCTCCACATTGCTCTGTTTCCCGCCACCAAAACAGAGCATATATTACACAATAAAAAAAGAAATCAGATGCTCTGTTTCCTGCCACCAAAACCCATATCAGATGCTCTGTTTTCTGCCACCAAAACAGAGCATATATGCTGCACAATCAATGAGGTCGCAATACAAACAATGAGACTGATGATTCTATTATGGAATTGTCATCTATCAATTTCTAAGTGCCTGTGTGATGAAAGTCTGTGAGATGAATTGTCATATATATGCAAACGAGTGAAGGAGGGCTTTAAATGATCTGCAACTCTTGCCATCTCTCTCTGAGTATTTACTGGTATGTAAGTTTGGTCACCATCATCACTGACGCCAGCCATGGATTCCTCTCTCTCTCTCTATCCCTCCCTGGTTCTGCTTCTGGTTCCCTTCCCCAACCTAACTCACCCTGATCAATTAATCCATGCCACAACTACTGCTGTCATTCCTAGCTACTGGTTTCAACTGTAGGACTCTCTCCATATACATTCACTTGCGACATACTGCTTACTGTATCTACAGATAATTATGTACGATCGTTATTATCAGGCTGATTCTGATATGATCTGATCACTGAGCTCCATCAATTGTGTAAAAGGGACATCATAAAAAGACAGCATGATCAGAAAGATGAGAAAGGGAATGATATGGGCAAGCTAGAAAAAGAAGATAGATGGGGAGATTGCTGAAGGTGTGACTGTGATCTTCTACAACAATTACATAACCAGCACACCATGAGAACACCACCACCACCCTTTAGTCCATTCACTCATCAATTATAAATTAAACCCTACATCAGCAGCAAGTGTGCTTTTTCCCACCTAACCTAAGGATGATCCATCCACCACAATTCAAACGAAACCCAAACCATGAAGGAAAAGAACAGAGGAAACCATGGTGGGTTTTCCCAAAATCATAAAAGAACTTGCTACTCCTGTATAAGTTTTTCTGTTTGGTTAATTAAATGCTATAATCTTTGTTTATTTCTTATTATTGTTGGTTAAAAGAGTATCTGACTTAATTCAACTCTTGATGAATATGGGTGATACCATCCCCGATTTGCTTCAAGGTGGACAAACTATATCTCGACACAACCATATGAAGAATGAACATATCCAATGCCAACTAAATGAAAGGATCATGACTGAATTGCATTGCTTTTGAACTGCATGGTCCATGTATTCCTGCCCCATTACCTAAATTCTGAAACCCCACAGGAAAAAAAACCCAAATGCAGAAATCAACTCTGAAACCCCAATACAGAAACACACACCCAAATAAATTGACGAGTACACTAAGAAGTCAACCATAGTAAAGAAACTCACCTCACTAACACTAAGCACATTGTTGCTGGGTATCGGTGCTCGAGCTCGTTTTCCCTGTAAGCCTTTTGATTTCATCTTTTCGATAACAGTATCTTTTCTTTCCCTATTGCTTGATATCGAATTCACAGATTCATTATAGCCCTACAAGCATATGAAAGAAGACACCAGGAACATAATATACAATGAACATCCGTGGATTTCCATTACTGAGCTATTCTCAAGATAAACTTCAAATCCTTTTTTTGTTCATTTAGTAGTTCACATTCTGGGTCATGAACAAAATCGCCAAAAACGTCCTAAACAGGGTTTTATACAGCATACAAAAACTCTTATACACACACACACCATACTCTTACACCAGTTAATGTTCTGGACTCTTCAGCAGGAGGACAGAAAGAATACATCTCGCTGGAAAGCCAACTAGCAATCATTCAATCAACTACATTCTTAACCCCAGGAGTTCAACTACTCAGTTAAGCAAACTCAGTAACTTGAATCTCGATAAGAAGCAACATAACACGGGAAAATCTCAATGCAGCTATACTGATTCTGCTACTCAAAGTGTAATAGAAGAAACTGTACATGATAATGGATCCAAACATCAGGATGGGTTGACATTTGATAGGCAATTCGAATTTCGAAACATGAGAAACCAAAGCAAATACAACACAACAACCCAATATGTAACTCTATTCCTACTTGAAAACCCACAGAGGGCAAAGGGATTAGTGGGTCGGTCGCCGCCTTGGCGGAGGTCCGACGGGAATACAACGGGGAGAGCTAAGGTTAAGATGCGCTTGATTCGAGATTGAATCCAAAAGAGACCGATCAAGATTCAAGGATATGAAGAGGGAGGGAGAGAGTACCAGAACGGCGGTGTGAGCCGGGATGCGGAGGCCGGCTGAGGTGCGAATCTGGATGTTAGGTCAGGGAAAGCGTCGTCAGCGTCGATCTATGAATCTTGGGCTCTCTCGTCTCTTAGTGTTGTGCAACGTCGAGAGGAACAGAAGATGGGGAAGGCCGAAGGCGGCAGAACGGGTAGCGAGGGAATGGTGCGGATCTGGCGGGGACTAGGTGAGGAAGAAGAATCGACGCTGGGAGGATAGCGGCGAGGAAGAAGAATCTCTGCAAATCTACTCGAGCGTTGGTGGTGGGCGACCTTCAGTAAGAATTAGCGGTTTGCGGTTTTGAACCGTAACCGTGTGGTTTTGGTCAATCCAAACCGCGAACCACTAACAACTAAATGGTTAGTCCGCAAATGAAACCGATAGTTAACGGTACGGTTTGGATTTACCGTTGGAGCGGTTTGGAGCGATTTAGTCAAACCAATGCCCACCCCTACGGAGGAGCATTGGAACTCTTTCCTCTTCAAAGGATTAACCCTTATAAAGGTTCCTACACAAACAAGAATGATTCATACCCATCCATTCCAAACACATTTCATCAATAATCAAAGAATGCATTGAACACTTCTCATCATACCTAGGATCGAATCTCATACATCCCCACACTTTATGGTTAATATGTAAAACAAGGGTGTAAAGTGGAAAACAATGTTGAATTAAGTAGTTAACAATCTTGATTGATTGGTTCAATTGGAAACATGTCAATCTAGGGGCTTTAATGTCATGGCCAAAGGCAATCAACAACATAAACAAATAAGGTAGGGGTATGGACCGATTGCTCAAAAATCATATCAAAGTGGTAAGCTTTGTTGAGCAAAGGGACCATGCACCTTATACCAATCGATCAAGATACTCAAACATGCTTTCAGGGGTTAACATAAGCATTAAAGTTCATTTGGCATGCATCAAAACATTACAAGCACAAATCATGTGGTTTGGGCATTTCATTGAGAACTGGGTGGGCGACAATCAAAATAATTAGAACCATGCAATTCACATCAATATTTCATACCCACCAAGGCCTCCATACCACATACATTCATTCATAAGCATGCAACACACAACAGCACATCAACATTTCATCATTTGCCCTTCACCTTAGTCCATTAGAACTAATTCTTAACTAAGGCATGGTCCTTCACTAATACTTAAACTAAAAACTAACCTAAAAATATAATTAAAAAATGCAAGTACTTTATTTAAAGATAAGGATAAGAAAATGAAAACTGATGTTGGGGTGTCTCCCAACTAGCGTATCTTTTAGGTCATTTCACCGGACGTTGTCTTCAAGTACTCAGTCCAACTCAAGACCTCCTTGAAGTTGAGATTTTCATCGATTAAGTAGAATCTCAAGTCTTGATCGTTCTGCTGATCATTCAGGGAAGGCTCATGTAGATAAGACTGTTGAGACACCTCCAATGAACCTCTCTTTAAATTTTCTTTGCTTCTCTTTGCCTCGAACCAAGTCAAACATTCTGGAAGGGTCATCACCGAATCCACCAAGAGGGATTGATGATTCCTCGACCTCTTCTTGTCAAAGAGAAACCGCAAAAGTATCCTTCTCTAAGAGTGTATCAAGGTTGGGCGGAAAGCTTGATTAGTACGCGTAACTTGTGGAAGCTTCATCCACTTCGACCTTGTCCACTGGTTGGACTCCAATTGTGTCTCTAACCTCCTCTCCTTCTTTTTAAGAATCTTCTCCCTATTGAGTACCAAGCTCTTCATCTTCTTCACTTTCTCCTTCCTTCCTCACAACCTCATCAATGCTCCCCCTTTTTAGCTTTCTCTTCTTGATGATTAGAAGCAATGATGGTTTTACAAGCAAGTTCTTCGATAGATGGTTCGTTAAGGTTCACTTGCTTTTCCATCCTCGTGGCACCTTGCTCTTTTACTACTTCCTCTTTTGCTTCATTCTCGATGTCGAAGAGGCGCTCTTAATTGAGTCTCGAGCAAAGTTGCTCAATAACTCTTCCGTTCTCCTCTATCCTCTTAAGCATCTCTTCTTTTTCTATGAGGAAGTCTCTAGTAGAAGGGTCGGGACCAATATAGTCAAAAGCGTGTTTCTACGTAGAAGCAGTTTGGTGATCTAAAAGCGTAAAACCATAAGATTTTAAGCTATAAAGCGTGTTTTTAATTACATTAGTTATAAAAACTGTGATTTTGCATAGAAGCATTTTGGTGACCTAGAAGTGCAAAACCGTAAGCAACCTTTCGTTTAACATCTTTGATCCGAAAACAACCCAGAGAAAGGTTGGGATCATTAGACTCTAGGCATTCCATTAGGATGTTGTTAGTGCTCGAATGCTAACTCTCCAAGGCTCTTTGGTGTAGGTGGTGGTGAATGATGAAGTATACTCCCACTCCCGGCCATTAGTTTTTCTAACTCGAGCTCCAAGAGGCTCTTTGGTTCCTGGGTTCAAGTTGAGTGCGTCGTCTCAACTCTCAAGGCCTACTCGATATGACGTACTCGCTTTGAGTCGCTCAATGACCATCTCCTACTCGCTCTTCACCGTAGGTTGTGGAGGTGGTTCTTGGTATGATGGTGGGGATGTTAGGTAATCATGGTGGTACAGTTGATAAGCATGGAGAGGTGGTTGTTCTTCATACCCGGATCTTTGGCTAGCACAATTACTAGAAGCTTCAAAAATAACACCAAAAACTTGATCGCTTGTGGGATCGAGCTTTAAATTTATAAGTCGATGCACACTCTCTATTCAATCCTAATTAAGCCAAGCATAACCTAGATATTGTAGTAAAGAGGCCCAGTCATATTCCAAGGGAACCTTAAACTTTTTATTACTTTGTTCTGAACTACTATCTAATCGAATCAAAATGTTGGGCATTTGAAATAATCTAATCTATTCTTAAGAGCAAAATAAACAACCAACCAAGTGGTTGGGAGGTCGCTATAGGTGAGATGATTGTCCAAGTTCGAATCCTCCTAGTTATAGTTATGGTTGTCATGTAGGGTTAAGAAAATGTGGCGAGTGTGGGCTTTCATGGTTATCCACACGCCTCTGAATAAGTCTCCCTTAAACACAAACTATAAGAGAGGGAGTGATGGAATCAATCATCTTCTCCTTGCTTGCACCTTCTTCTTTCTCCTTGGGTGGATTGGATCTTCAATTAAGCTCTCACAAGGTGTTTCCCTCTCTAAAAAAACCCAAAACCCTAAATTTCTCACTCTAGAGCGGCTCCCCCTGAAAAGTGTAGCAAGAGGGGTATTTATAGAAAGCTGATGATGGTCAAAGCCTCCAGGGCGTGACGCGATGGTCGCGGCCATGGCAGGCCGTGACCTATCTTTGACTAGATGGAACGTCCTCCAGTCGTCCAAAAGGAATCATTTTGACTCTGTCTTTAAGCTCTGTAATCGCGGCCTCCTTCATAAGATCGCGGTCGTGATCTTTGTGTCCCGACCGCGATCTTTTTCCCGGGCAAAATGTGCCATGCCCGCGATCCGACTGTGGAAAATTTATGCCTTCTATTTGGTTGCCTACTGAATTTTGTGACTATTGTTCACGGCCGCGGTCTTCGGCCTACGAACATGGTCACAACCGTATTGGGGTCGGTTCCCATATGAAAACCTTTCATATCAAGAATACCTATGTCAAAACTGATGTTTTGCAAATTGGAACGAAAATAGGCATAAATAACACGACATGTGGCCTAGACACGGTGATTTAACATGCAAATGCCTTGGGAATAGGGGCTAAATAACACCTATTTTAGGTGTTATCAATGGGTCATAATTAGGGCTGCAAATGAGTCAAGCTGCTCACGAGCAACTCGGTGTTTGAATCGGGGGGAAAATCGTTCGACATTCGACTTTTTATTTAAAAAGCCGGCTCGCGAGCTGACTCATTATCAAACAAACCAAGCTTGAGCTAGACCATGCTCAGCTTGATAAGCTCATGAGCTAGCTTGAATCAGTGGCTTGTTGAGCAAAGCTCGCGAGCTAGCTTGTTTAGAGCTTGTGGAAGGATTAATTACTCTTATGAACATGAACATTATCTTGTTATTACAGATGTGTATGGAAGTTAGTTGTTATTTATAGTTTCTAGTTTTCTTTTTATGATTTAAACTCTTATGTATACAAATTTTCAGCAAGAATGTTTTCAAATCGAGCTCATCTTGAGTCGAGCCCGTACTCAGCTTGACAAGCTGTGTTGATGAGCATTTACCAAGATCTATCGAGTCGAGCTTGAGCTGGATTATTTTTAATCAAGCCGAGCTCGAGCTTGAGCTGAATTATCAAGAGCTGAGCTCGAGCTAAGAAATTGACTCGCACGAAACTACACTGCGAATTAATCCCGACTAGAGCCCAAGTTTTTAAACTCTAGACGGGTGCAGTATAGGGCAAGTATTTAAATTGTCAACCCAGATCGGTCCATGTACCCCTACTTCAATCGGTTAAGTTGTTATCTAGCAAAACGGTTTTGGGTTTAAAACTATGAAAACTACAAATGAAAGCTAGCAAGGAAAGTAAATGGAAAAGAATTCTACTAGAGAGAGCTTCACCCGGGTATTGCTCCTCCTAGTCTCATGCTAAGAAGCGCCAAACAAAGCTCTAGTTTGAAGGACGTGTTCATACACCGCTAGGTGGGCGCAACTAGCTAGGGACAAACTCCCTTAGTCGATCAATGAAGGAAAATCAACACATGTAAGCTAGGGGAACTAGCTCTCTTTATAGCTATGGGAACTAACTAGGTGAAGGATTGTGATTCATAGCTAGAGAGTCTAGCCCTCTTTATCGATCAACCAAGGAGATCCCTAGCTCTCTCTTAGTTAGCTAATTGAGAATCGTTGCAACAAGTTGGAAAGCTAACTCACTTAACCTTTCTGCTAAGAGTGACAACGATGGGCTAGGAAAGGAGAAAATAGATACTACTGAGTTTTTGGATGTTTCATGCTTTTGACTGATTTTAAGTATACTGCTGAGTTTTTTTTACAATGTTTGGTGGAAAATAGATAGTATTTGGAGACTATATTGTATAATAATTTATGCCCTCTATTCTTATTAGAATTTTGGATGTTTTGGCAGCAATGGCCAGTGGAGAAGAAGCCCGATTGGTTGATCAAGGAGCAGCCCCTAGTCATCCAAAGTTTGTCACAAAGAGTTTACAAAGCAAAAGTGATCCAACTTGGACTCATTGTTCCCTTCAACAGGATGGAAAAATTGAGGTACTTACTTGTCTCTATTGTCAAAAAGAATTTGAGGTGGAGGAATCACTAGAATGAAAAAAAAAATCTAGCTGGGATTAGTGGGGATAATGCAATATGCCCAATGGTTCCTCCTGAGGTGAGCCAAAACATGCAGAAGCTTTTGACTCTGAAGTTATCAAAGCTGTATTTAAAGAACCTCGTGATACAAGTTCCTCTAGTGCACAAGATGCTGGTAATAGTGCTAGAAGAGTTGCTCATAATGTGTCTACGGGTTCGGTTGACACTTTCTTTACTCCACGGTCATCTTCCGGTAGTCAACCAGGAATAAAGAGTGCCTTAGCAACGAAAGAAGTTATATTGTATGTGGACCGAGTATGGGCTAGATGGTTCTATGATGCATGTGTTCCTTTAGAAGCAATTAAATCTCCACAGTTTAAAATAGCATTGGATGCTTCTATGACTCTTGGTCCTGGTTATGGCAGTACTACATATTATGCTTTGAGGTTTACTTTGTTGGATAGCATTGTGAAAGATTGTCAATTATTGATTGAGAATTTGAGGTCTCATTGGAAGGAATCTGGATTCACGGTTATGGTGAATGGTTGGACGGATAATAGGCGTAGATCCTTAATCAATTTTCTTGTTTATTCTCCTGCTGGAACATGCTTTGTGAAGTCCATTGATGCTTATGGTTTGGTCAAGAGTGGAAGGAACTTGTTTAAGTTTTTTTGTGAGGTCATTGATTGGATTGGAGCGGAGAATGTTGTGCATGTGGTGACCGATAATGCATCCAAGTATAAATTAGCAGGGACAATGATAAATGAGCATTATGGTCATATATATTGGAATTCTTGTGTTGCTCATACCCTTAACTTGATCTTGAGTGACATTGGATCTATGCCTCATGTTAAGAAGCTTGAATATCGAGCTACCAAGGTGTCCAAATTTGTTTACAATCATGATCCAATTTATTTCTGAATGAAGACAAAGGAGAATTGGAAAGAAATAGTGAGCCCCGGTGCTACTAGATTTGCTACTACATTTCTAATTTTGCAAAGTATTTTTTAGCACGTGCATGATTTGGAGGAATTGGTGATTAGTGAGTTTTTTTAGAGAAAATTGTGTTTCAGGTACTAAGGATGGAAAGGATGTGAAGGCAATTATACTAGATCAACAGTTTTGAGTTGATTGTGACTTCATTGTTAAGTTGAGAGCTCCAATTGTTAAGTTGCTTCGAGTTGTAGATTCAGATAGTCAACCAACAATGGGGTATGTGCATGATGGGATGGTTAGGGTGTCAAATGTTATTATGACTGTTTGTGGAGATAAGGCGGAGAAGTACAAGCCATACATGGATATCATTAATAGGAGATGGGATAAGCACTTGAGCCGTGATTTGTTTATGGCAGCTCACTATCTTAATCCGGCTATGAAGTATTATGATGATTGGACAGATGATAGGGCGGTTACATTTGGACTTCTTAATCTTCTTGAGAACTCGTCTTTATGTCCTGATAATAGTGTGGTGGTGGCAGAGATGAATATGTATGTTGAACGTTTAGGAAACTTTGGGAGGAAGATGTCAATAGATGCTGCACAGAAACAACAACCAGGTAACTGATATCACTTGCATTGAAGTTCTTCTATTTATGACAGTATTTGAGAAACTAACATGTATCTTTTATATGTAGATAAGTGGTGTAAATGGTTTGGCATTGATGCTCCAAGTCTTCAGAAGTTGGCTATTCGAATTCTTAGTCAAACTGATGCTTCTTCTTCTTGTGAACGTAATTGGAGTGTCTATGAACGTGTGCACATCAAAAGAAGAAACAAATTGCAGCATAAAGTGCTTAGTAACATGGTGTTTGTGAATTACAACTTGCGATTGCATAATAGGTAATAATTTGAATTATAGAACTTGTATGTTGAATTCATGCTTTCTATGCTTACTATTGAATTGAATTATTTTATGTTTTCTACTATGATTAGAGAGTATTATACCAAGAAGAACAAAGAATAACATGATCCCATAAGCCTTGAAAGCATTGATTCTACTGTTACTAGTCATTGGTTGTCACTAGAGGAAGAAGATCCATCTTCTAGGGACAAGGAATTCGATATTGATAAGCTGAATCGAGCATTAGATGAGGAAGGTTAGTTTGTTAACCAATTATGTATGATATGAATTCTAATACTAATAATTGATAATAATTCTTTACTTGTTTTCTCTTGTATTGTAGTGGGTGATGAAGAAGATGAAGGGGACAAGTTGGAGAATGTATACTTCTCTACATTTGGTGTTGTTTCAATATATGAAACGTTGTTTGTGAACGTTGTAGTACTTGCTAGTTTGAGTTTGGTACTTGTGAACTTGTGGTTTGAGAATGTTGTTTGGTTGTTTTGTATTTTGAACGATTATGTAGTTTGAGAATGTTGTTTGGTACTTTGTACTAGATCCGAAACATGCATTTGAACCATTGTGTAGTTTATTTAGTAATGTTGCACTTTGTTGATTGTTATATTACCTATGCCTATTTAGTTTATTCAGGTTTGTTATCCGGTATATTCCTGTTTTATTCTGGTATTACTCCAAGACGGTATTCTGAATCTGTCGATACGATTTAAAATAAAAATTAATTACAAAAACAGTATTGTATTGGTATACAATGGTTGAACCACAATCGTTCCACAAACACCCTACCACAAACTGGTCTGATATGACTTCTGGCGTTCATTTAAATGGAAGTTTCCTTTCCGTTTGGCATAAATAAGACAATAGCGAGTAAGTGTGAGTGAATTCTTTCTTCTCTAACTTCCTATCCTTAAAGTAAAGTATAAAGTTACTTACGAAGAAGAGTTTGACCCAAAATTGACATCGGTGCCTTACTAAGTTGGCATGGATTGTTATTTAGAGATGTGTGGACTAGTATAGTACATTGTACACAATATTAGTCTGATATTACCTTTTAATAGTAATAGTGAATGTTTTACAAGTTATTAATGTGATTCTTTGATAAATATCATCTTAAAAAGGTACTAAACAAAGAAGCAATTCAAGAAAGATGATTGTGCACAAAAATATCATGAGCTCAGTAAGTTCCGAAGCAAACTAGTTTATGTGGGCCATCTAAGACCACTCTTGGTAATTCATCTTAATCTTAATGTGGGAATCTAAACTAGGTTAGTGATTGCAAACCAATTTTAATCATGCTTTCACAGTCTAAGAATAAAAGGAGAGACGAGACAATTATAATCTTCTCATCTCTTTTCGACGTTGACATTCAATTCAATCCTTTTTCGTGGATACACTTTCTATCTAGCAGTATACGATCTATAGTATAGTGAAATAAGTTCTATCCAGAGATTGATTGCCTCTTGAATGTGTAATGTGCCATTGATCCACAAGATTAGAAGACTTCAATTGCCTTGTATTAGGTGAAGAGAAGGGGTGGCGGGCTTTGTAGGGCTCAAACCTACCATATTACCGCCATAAATGTTACGTTTCAACCAATTGAACCATAAGCCCCTTGATAGAGGAAAATTCAAGATTAGGCTTAGTTAATCTAAGTACTTTATTGTTATTTCTAGGTAACATAATCATGGGTCGTGCTTTTTGCTGTCTCGATTTGCTATTCAACTCCTTTGAGCTTTATGTAACCGTCGAAACACTTCACAATTCACATCATGCAGTTGGTATTGTAACTTGTAAGTCATTTTATTGAAAACAAATTTGAAATTTCACAACTAATCAGAAGCTCGAACAACTGTAGATCGTTGGTTCAACTTCCTATCCCCCATCTCACAGTGTCTTCTTGTAATAAGAAGAAGAAAAATAAAGGAAAAATTAAAAAGAGGAATCCTTCCATTGCATTACATATCTCAGGCTTATGCAGTGGGAGCCTATACTTGGCCAAAAGAATAGATATACGATCCCTTTTTACAGCGGTCCAACACTTCCCCTTCAAATTCCCAACCCTGGCATCAAAATCAGCGATAGTAGGCCATGTGTCTACTAGATGACATGAAAGGAGAAGGGGAGGAAGCCTTCTGGGTGTGGGCAGTACAGGGTTTTATGACTTCCTTCTTCTTCCTCTTCTCCTGCTTAGTCTCGGAACGTAGCCAGTTCTCAACTACTGTGAGCAGGTTCACAGATGTACTGAGCTCATTCATCTCCAGTAGCTTAGCGTACCTCTTAAGCTCACCTTCTTGAATGTAAGCAAGGTGTGTCGCCCATGCCTCTAAACCGTCGAAGATGTGAGTTGCATATATTAATGTAGCTCCTCTCTGCCATCAACTTAACAATATCAGCATAAGAGAGACAGAAAATGGTAAAGACAGAAAATGAATTATGGTGGGTGCAGCAGAAACTTGGGATATCGGTTCTATTTTTCTCCCGGAACGTGGGCAATACTTCGCCATTGTGCATACTAGAATATCATGCTATAGATATTAATGTCTTAAAAGGAATACAATCATGAAAATCAAGTTGGCTCCTATATGAAAGAACCCATACCTGCTCAGTTTCCTCCCTAAAAAACTCCAGCAAATCCATCCTAGCAACCACATCCAAATCAACTGTCACCTCATCCAATAACAAAACCTGCAATGAGAAATTCATCTGTTTATTTGGTGTAAGAGGTGATAAATTGCAAGACGCTTGGCTCAACAACAGAGTTGATATCTAAAAATGTTCAAATGGTCACAAGTAAGCAAAGCCTCATGGATTGAAGATGCATGTACCCAAACTGCTTTAGATTTCATACATGAGAAGTCAAGACAATCTATCAACAAGCAGAAGGGATTTGGAAAGTCATAAACACACCCAAAATGTAATTGTTATTACTACCAAAAAGGGAAAAACTGTTGGTTAGTTTTTTGTTCTCCCTCAATATCATTCCAAGACTGAAAATTTACCTTATACGGGTATAGAAGCCCCATACAAATCTGAACCCGGCGCCGCTGTCCATCAGATACCTTGTGCATACGCCATCGGAGATCAATATCAAGAAGCTCAATCAGCTTTTCTCTCCTGTCTGGATCAACACCCTCAACTGACACCAAAATAAACAATTGGGAAGAGATAAACAGAGACCTCAGAATGCAGATCCCAGTGCCTGTACTGTACACTTGATATTCTTAAGTGTAACTATGCTAATTGCTCGATCCACTACCTCCAAATATCATATGCTCCGCAGAGAAATCTCCCTGCAGTGGTATTTCTCCCTGGAAGATTGGCAAGGACAACAATCAAATTCAACGTAGTAGGTTACAAAGACCCAAATGTAGCTATGCTGGAATATTTGAGAACAGAAGTACTAAATTCCTCATTCCAATTCAAACAGAAAGCAAGTTGAAACCCCTAGATCTATATTTATGTACGGCAGAGTAGAATGACAAAGAAACGAGCAAAATTGAGCAGCAACTCACCGCCGATCCCGCATTTTTACTCCAGGAACCTCCTAAATAGGCTAAATCACCACTACAAACGAGCTGAGTGTCATGAAAAGCCGAACTGTTCAGCACTCTCACGACGTCTTTCCCTCCTACCATATGCTTCCCCGCCAGAATCCGCAGTAAAGTCGACTTCCCTGTACAGAACCGACAGCTATTCTCATTTTTTCCGTTTCTCTTCGAATTCGATTCTACATTCCAAACATAGAATTGAGGTATCAATCGGAGAAAGGAAAATTTTCCTGACCTGATCCATTGGCGCCGGTGAGTAAGCAGCGAGATCCGGGAGCAATGTCGAGATTGAAGTCGAAGAAAAGAGGCGCCTGGTTGGAGTCGTACGAGAACTGCATCGCCGACACGCTGATGCTGCTGGACTTGTCATTGTCCAGTCCGCCTCTTCCTCCTCCTCCCGTCGGTGGCGTCGCCGAAGCAGCACTTTCCGCCATTTTATTTTCCCACCGGCAATTTGAACAGTGGTCTGGGCCGTCTATCGTTTGTGTCTGTATTTTCAGAATTGGGCCGTTGGGGGTAGTTTTAACGTGTAGTGTATGGTTCAGTGGACGACGACTTGGACGCACCGTTTCACTCCACGTCTCTCTTCGCGAAAGGGGTGGAAAGGGAAAAGCAAATACAGCGGGGTTTTGGGGGTTGGTGGTCGGCTAGTTAGTTCATAGTTGGCTTCATGCCGCTTAGTGGCGGTTTCACCATATTACATATTGGTTCAGCACTCATTAAGGCTCCGAGTAGGGTTTGGAAACGGTGTATATGTGGTTTATAGTCCAGATCAATAGACTGAATATAGATTTGAGATCAGATCATGTGCTATATAATTCAGACCAGATCACGCTTGTACAGTCTGGTCTGGTTAGGTTTGATCCAGATAGATCAGAATGAACAATTTATATAGTCAACCACACATAAAATTGAATCAATAAATGTGAATTTTTTGTCTTAAAACATAAAGTTCAACCCACATAATATAATACAGACCATGGACCAAACCAAATCATTCTCAACGGTTTACGATCTGAACCAAACTGTGTGGTTCGGTTTGGTTCATGGTTTTTCAAAAGGTCTGGTCTATTTTCCCAATCCTACTCCTGAGTCGCTGTGGTACGAGTAAGTTACGGCTATGATTAACTGAAACCATGATTATAAGAACTGAACCAGATTAATGATTGGGTCAGTAGAACCACCACATCAGGTACGATAACGGTCTGGTTCATTGCTTGGACGGTTATTGATGGACCAAACAGTTTTTCATGGTTCAACATAAAACCAGATGAACCACCACGGTTTAACTGGTCCACAGGTTCACTATTTTAACCACAATGTTTTGTCAAAAATGGTTTGAAGTAAACTAAGACCATCAAACCATAATTATTAATTTTATTTCTGCTTCCTCTTCTCATTTTCCAACCTTGTTATTGACTTTACGCAGTCCACTACCAACTGGCACCATAATTTTAACTTGAACTAAAAAATTATGATTTCTTTTGTGAGACTGTTTGAATGATTTATTAGATATTTTGGTGATAATATGAATTTGAAGTTGTTTATGGTTAATTATAACTTCATTCTTAAATTACTGTAATACATATAACATGAAAGGTTCTTTCAATGGTTAACCAATAATATTGTAATAGTTAACCATAAAATCCTAAACCAGGGAGTGGTTATGGTGATTACTATGGATTAATAATCACCATGGTTACTAAGGGCAAATTGGGTATGAATTTTTTTTATTAATTATCATTTTAATAAATTACATTTTAGGCAGTTATAAAAATATATTAATTACGATTTTCTCTCTCTCCTTCTTTTCACTACCGCAATCTCTAGCCAGATTTTGTTTCCTTCTTTTTCTCATGTCTTTTCTGTCTCCGTTCAGCCGAATAAATACCACTGCAAAGCTCCATTTGATCGACCCGGTCTTGTTTGCTTCCATTTCAATCTCCTCAATCAAAAGCTCAGCCTTCGTCCTTGTCCTCACCTTGTTCTTTAGCGATAGAAAGACAGTCTGGTAATCCGTCTCTATCACGATCTGCTGGAGGTCATGCATTTCCTTCAACTGGAGACCGAATTGGATCGCCCGGATTTCAGCCAGATTCGGTGACCATTGGGCTCTCTCTTCTGATTGCTGCATACAGGAAATTCCCCATCTCATCTCGTACGACGGCTCCTTATCCTGTCCCCTGGCCAGTCAGCAGCGCCGCATCGATGTTCATCTTCAGCTACCCAACTGGTGGTTTTTGCCAGGTACGGCTCTGCTCCTCTCCCTGAATCGTCCCCTGGTTGTTCTGGTTTTGGTATTCCTCCTAGTGAGCGATCGCTTTCCCAGCGATTTCCCATTCCTCTGCCTTGTGATTGTTAAAGCACTGATTGTTCCTCTCATGCCAAATGAACCATAGCAGAACCCCAAACTGCCCTAGAGTGTCATCATCTACCATTTCCATTATTTCGCACAACCAACTCCCAAGAGATAGGGTTCCATCTAGTTCGAATAGTTTCCTGAATGAAGTAGGTTTCCATATTTGTATTGCCCATTCACACTCCCTGAAAATGTGTTTTTGGGATTCCTCCGGATCACAGAAAGGACAGTTGGGGCTTGCATCCCTCTTCCTGGACTCCAAGTTCTTCCCTGTGGGGAGTATAGTGTGAGCCAGTTTCCATAGAAAAACCTTTACCTTTGGGGGATAATGAGCTTCCATAAGCGCTTCCAATTCATAGGGTCATACACTTCCACTTCTGTCCCCTGTTCCTCGGTCTCGAGCATCGCTTCCTCCCAATGTATCTCATATTATGTTTTCTTCTTGAACCAATATCGATAAGTTGTTTTTACAGAATACTTGCCATTCTTCTCGAAGCACCATACTCGCTCATCCTGTGCTGGATGTCTGGGGATTGGGGTCCCTTGAATTCTGGTACCGTCCACTATATTAAAGTGATGTTGTAGGATATTAGTCTTCCATGATATGCTGTCATGATCAATTAGCTCAGCTACTAAGGATGTATCCCCCAATAGCACATTGTGGAGTGGTTACCTTGTAGTCATCTTCCTCTGTATTTGATAGCCATCTGTCCTGCCAGATATCAGTCATTCTTCCATCCCCAATCCTCCCTAGTAATCCTTCCTTTACAATTGTCTGAGCTGCCATTAAGCTTCTCCACGTGAAGTTAGGATTATAACCCACCCTTGCCTGGAGCACATCTGTATTTTGATAGTATTTAGACTTCAGGACTCGTGCTACCAGTGATGTTGGGTTTTGAAAGAGGCTCAATATCTGTTTATCCAGTAGAGCCAAATTAAAGGTTTTGAGGTCTCTGAAACCTAAGCCTCCCTCTTCCTTAGGCTTACAAAGTTTTTTCCAAGCCTTCCAAGGGATACGTCTCTCTTCCTTCTGCTGCCCCCACCAGAAACTTGAGATAGCTTTCCTTAGTTCATCAAGTACCCCATCAGGGACCTGAAAAATTGACTTAGTGTAGGTGGCCTGTGATTGAGCCACTGAATTGATTAAGACCTCTTTAGCTGCCACTGCAGCATCTTGCCCTTCCAATGTTTGATCTTCTTCCTTACTTTATCCACTAGTACCCCAAAGACTTCTTTCTTTTTTCTGCCAACCACCATAGGAAGGCCTAGATACTTTTGGTGAGCTACCACTTGCTTCATTCCCAAAATATCAGCCAGATGGGTCTGTTGGTCTGAGTTCAAATTTGGGCTGAAGCTGACTTCAGATTTTTTGAGATTCACCATCTGTCCCGATTCTTCCTCATAGATCTTCAAAATCTCCTGAAGTTTGCCGCACTCTTCTGAGGTGGCTCTTGTAAAAAAAGATGCTATCATCTGCAAAAAGCATATGAGAGATCTCAGGGCCCCTCATCGAGCACGTAATTCCATGGATTTTCCTTTCTCTTATGGCTTTGTTGATTAGAGTAGTCAGTCCCTCGACACATAACAGGAAAAGGTAAGGTGAAATGGGATCACCTTGCCTCAATCCTCTCTCTGGTTTAAAACTTTTAGTTTGATGTCCATTCACCACAAGGGAATAGAAAACTGTTGTGACGCAGTTCATCGCTAGTTTAACACATCGCACTGCAAAGCCTAGCTTCAACATCATTTGTTCTAAAAATTGTCATTCCACACGATCGTAGGCCTTGGAGATATCTAATTTTGCTGCCATCCAACCTTTTTTGTTCTTTTTCTTCTGTTTCATGGTATTGAAACACTCAAACGCCACTAGAACATTGTCTGTAATTCTTCTTCCTGGCACAAATGCACTCTGGGACTCCCCAATGACCCGATCTAGAATAGTTTTCAGGCGATTTGTTAGCACTTTCGAAAGAATCTTGTATAGCACTTTGCACAAACTTATTGGTCTAAATTCTTGTGGGGTTTCTGGTCTCTTAGTTTTTGGTATTAGAGCTACCAAAGTATGATTCAACTGCTGAGGGAACTCACCTAGCTCAAGATAGGTTCTCAACTCTTGCAAAACAGTTGGACCAACTGTTCTCCAATGTCGCTGGAAGAATAGGGCTGGCATCCCATCTTCCCCCGGAGCTTTATTGGGGTTCATTTGCTTTAGGTTCATCCATATCTCCCCATCGTCGAATGGACTCAGTAATTCCTCATTCATTTCACTTGTAACCTTCTGGGGGACCTCATTCAGTATTCTACTGGAATATTGTCGAGGTCCTGCTTTGAAGAGTTCTTTCATTTAGCTTAATAGACACTTCATCCCCTCCTCTTGTCCTGCCCACACCCTTCCTACCCCATCCTTTAATTTTCTTATGGTATTCCTTCTTCTTCTTTCTGATGCCTTCCTGTGGAAATACCCAGTGTTCTTGTCACCCTCTTTCAACCAATCTGCACGTGATCTTTGCCTCCATTTCATCTCCTCTTGCGATATAATGTCGTTTAGCTCTTGTTCTATTGCTCTCTTTTGGAGGAGTATCACTTTCGATCTAACCTGTCTATTTAAAGCTCTTAGGGTCTTTTCTGCCTGAACTCTTCTTCGTTTGAGTGAACCAAAAGTCACTGAACTCCCGTGTTTTAGCTTATGTTCACACACCTTAATTCTTTCCATAATTCCCTTGGTCATAGGTTGTCCATCCTTCCTCAATTACTTTTGTGCACTCCTCATGTTTCTCCCAATAGTGTTCATATCTGAAAGACCATCCCCATATGATAGCTTCTTCCTCCAAATCTAACTTCATGTGGATTGGTAGATGGTCAGAGCCGCACCTTTCTAAGTGGTACAAGCGCATATGTGGATACATCCGTAACCACTCCTCACTTCCTAAAACCTGATCCAGTCTTTCTTTAGTGTATTGATCTCCCTCACGTCCATTCTCCCAAGTGAAGGTCCTGCCATAATAGCCACAGTCCTCCATATTGCAGTTTTCCAGAGTTTGCCAGAACCAGTCCATTTCTCTAGCTACTGGGTCTGACTGTCCACTTTTCTCTTTTCTCTAGTCTATCCAGAATGAGGTTAAAATCCCCTAATAGTAGCCAGGGAATTTTTACCTGATTTTATAATCTTTCAATGAGTTCACACGTTTTTTGTTTATTATGAGCTTCTGGCCAACCATAGAGCCCTGTCAG